CATTTTGTTCTGACAATGTGCTGTTTTTGCCGATGTTTTTTTTTTCATGCAAGTTTAAAATACAAACATTTTAAATGTCAATACTCTCTTCTTTATTTTTATTTATTAAAAAAAAAAATTTATTAGATCAGGTTCCATTTTAACACACATCCAGAGTCGAAAGTACTTTAATGAGAGAGAGGCAAGTCATGTAGTCAGGGATATAGCACATGCACTGGACTTTCTGCACAACAAAGGTAAATACTATACTTTTACTCTGTGGCCCAGTGACCATGACTCACTGCGAGTGTGTTTACTCAGACTCGTCTCACTCTTTCCACAGGAATCGCTCACCGGGACCTTAAGCCTGAAAACATCCTGTGTGAATATACTGATAAGGTAACATGTGTAGTTTGTCTGGCTACAGAAAATCTCTAGCAGTTGACAAATTTCTACTGTTTAATCATGTCTACCGGTATATCACCCACCTCTAGTAGTGTATGCACTGTATGTTTATAGCCAGTCTTAATTGTACTGAGTTTTTTGCTTTTACCCAGGTCTCTCCTGTGAAAATCTGTGATTTTGATCTCGGGAGTGGAGTAAAGCTAAACAGTGCCTGTACCCCAATAACTACCCCTGAGCTCACCACACCGGTATTTGTGCTTCTGGCATCCTAGAACTGTAAAATTGTGGAGTAGCATGTTTTGAGGGATGTGTTTTGTCCTCTAGTGTGGCTCAGCTGAGTACATGGCTCCTGAGGTGGTCGAGGTCTTTACGGATGAGGCTTCGTTCTATGACAAGCGCTGTGACCTCTGGAGCCTCGGAGTGATTCTCTACATCCTGCTCAGCGGGAGTCCTCCCTTCACCGGCCACTGCGGCACCAACTGCGGCTGGGAACGAGGAGAGACATGTCGTGCCTGCCAGGTAAAACGCACGCTAATTCAAAAACGTAGAGAATTCACTTTATCCATGAAGACAACTTAGCAGTGTTGTCCTCTCCTGTTCAGAACAACCTGTTCGAGAGGATTCAGGAGGGGAAGTATGAATTTAGGGATGGGGTTTGGGCTCAGATCTCAGCCGATGCCAAAGATCTGATCTCGCGGCTGCTGGTGCGAGATGCCACTCTACGGCTGAGTGCTGCACAGGTCCTGAAGCATCCCTGGGTACAAGGGGTGAGTCTTTAGCTCTGTTTTTCTTGAAGACTTCTTGATTTAATCTTTAACAGGGATGACCAATATGGGCTGATAACTGATAATAAAGAAGCATTCTTTAGTCAGCAATTTTACTTATTGCATTTTAACCCTTTCAGTAGGAATGACTAGATAATTAAAAACCAGTTGCTTGACACAAAATAGATGTCATGTAAAGGCTTTGGACTGGAATGTAAATGTGTATGTATATACATATACACACACAGTATATATATATATATATATATATATATATACTTAT